TCCGGTTTTGAAAACCATGCCAAATATATCTAGGAGCTATTTCATATCAAACTTTCCTCTCTTGGTCAATAAGATCGCCAACAACCTGATTTGAGTGAGTAATTCTGTCCCGGTTCACTTCATCGGCAAGGATAAAATCCTCGGCCTATTTATCAAACCAAAAATTAATTGACTTTCCAGTTTCCATCACCTGCCATCCATCTAGCACCCATGTTGATGGTTTCCTAGCCAACAGAATTCCACACCAAATCCACGAGATGCCCTTTTTAACTCTAACATTCTAGAAATTCTTGTTGGCCATGTACTTTTGTTTAATAATTTTGACCCACAAATTCTCTTTATCATTTAAAATTTTCCATCCCAACATAGGTAAATTTGCTTCGTTAATCCTGTGGAGATTTTTTAAATCAATACCTATCCTATCTTTTAACTTCTAAATTTCAAATACTTCTCCCCCACTCCATTAACGAGTTTAATGATAAAAATAAAATTTATTAAAATACCCAACATAAATTCTTTGTCTTTTCTATATTTTTATTCTATTTTCTTCCTTTCTCTACATTATAAGGGGTTAATTGGCGGTTTTAGAAATCTTTAAACACATATAATGATAATTATATTAGAATATTTTCTAAAGTCAAACGATTGAGGTAGTTAAGGTGGGCCTTTCGTTAATAAAGTTCAGTTTGGAATGAGTACAAATACAAATATGTACAAAATAATATAAATTACAAGGTTTTGTATTCTATACTCCTTCCAAATAAAGCCAAAAGAAAGTTTTTGGAGCTAAATGTCACTATCCAAAATATAGAGTGACAGTATTATCCCGAGTCCAGGCTGGGTGGAACCTCGATTGTGGCCCATCCTATATACCGAGTAAGATTGCAACTTGAACCGGGTTGGCCCAAATCCAACTCAAAAAAGTCGGGTTGGGTTGAATTGGGTCGGGTCGGGTTGATATTCGGGTTAGGGTTAGGGTTGAAATTCATGAACCCGATTTTACTTTGGATTGGGTTAGGGTTGATCCCTTAGCCAACCCGAACCCGACTCTATAGTGCATGTAATATATAAATATATGTTATATGTAATATATGATATACATTGATTTGTTTAGATGCATAAAATTTGTATAGCCCCACCACATAGTATCATGTACTTCTTTTAAGATAATCACTTCACTTAGTCCTAATCAGAAAGACTAAAACCTTAATAACATTATTTTATGTTTTTTTGAAAATTTTATTCTTCATCTCATCTATGTTGTTTGTCACCCAAGAAAGATCTATCATAAGTCATAACTCATAATAAACTATAGTCATTTCTAACACTTGTTTTTTTGAATTCTGTACCAAAAGAACAAAAAAAAAAANAAAAAAAAAAAAAAAAAAAAAAAAAAAAAAAACGTCAACAAACAAATACTAATGAAACATAGGATTAATATATTTAGTGAAAGTTGATTTAAGATCTAAAATCGAAAAATTCTATGAGGTCTTAAGGGATGGGAAAAAGGTTGGGTTGGGCCCAACCCAATCCGAAATTGACTTCGGGTTGTGTTGGGTTGGGTTAGGGTTGAAGGAATTTAGTTAGGGTTAGGGTTAGGGTTGGGATTTAGAACTTAGGGTTGGGCTAGGGTTGGCCTCAACCCGGCCCAACATACAGCCCTAATACCCAGCCTCAGAACCTTGTGTTGAGTTTTAGACAAGGTTCAAAATATCAATATGTATAGTATTGGGAGCTTCTTGACATACTCCTACAAAGGGTGTATCAGGGTTTTGAATGATTCAAAGGGTGGACGAACCTTAAACCGGCCCTTCTAAATTGGATTTGAAAAAAAAAATAAAATAAAAACTACCAATACTTTCTGATACACCGGTAGAGTATTGATATTTTAAACCTTGATTCCAGGAAGGACCGGAGAGACTGAAGTTTCAATTGTGGCTTGAGCCTGAGCCGGTCTAGCTCCAGATCAGTTTGATTCTCAACCCTACTATTTGACATCGACGAGAAGCCCATATCAATAAGCTTACATAGCTTTTCATAAAAAATCCCGTGATGTTACTTGCAAATGCATAATCGTTAAAATGGAAAAAACAAGACAATCTTCCACATCGAGTCGTTGTAGTATAGTGGTGAGTATTCCCGCCTGTCACGCGGGTGACCCGGGTTCGATCCCCGGCAACGGCGTTCATTTTTATTTTGAATTTTCAACTCTCCCCAATAATAGAGTATCTATGGTAATAGAATTTTCAACTTCACCTTCTCCACCTCTCCCAATAATAGAATTTCTATGGTAATAGTGTAGGCCAACCCTGACCAGGGGTGGACTAAGATTTGTAGGGTGGACTGAATCTGTCCGTAGATTGATGTCAAATTTACGGGTAAGGGTCTGCAATTTAAATTTCTGACTTGGATTACAGTTCATTTATCCCTTAATATTATCCCAAGTCTATGACCCATTGACTCCTTATTGACTTCCATATCTTTCTTTCTTCAGTAAACACAAAACAACACCCGGTCGTTTTCATACACATGGTCACTTATTCCCTCCACACCCCACCCTCAAGCCTCAGTTGGTATCTTCATATTTGGTCGGAGTGTTTATCAAAAACCAAACCGAAACATCATTCAAAATCATTCAGTTTGATTAATTCTTTATATTTATAATATATAATATATTATTTATAGTATAATGTATTACATATATTATATATTTATATATAATACATATAAATTAAAAACATCAAAGAGACGAACTGATTAATTAATTAATCGATTGATTTCAGTTCGATTTTCGATTTTCCAACATCGGTTTGGTAAAAGGGCCTTGGTTCAGTTAAATCAAACCACGAACATCCCTATCTATTTGGTGCAAAATTGGGTGTATCGGACTTTGTATCAACACTCTTTTATATATTTTTTTAGTTTTTTTTTTTAAATATGTACAGGGGGCCGGTTAAAGGCCTGATTATCCTTAGTTCATACCCCGAAACTCCTTACATTTCACGTATTGTATGACCGATATATAACGAAAATTTGAACCTTGATTTGGTGTATAACATAGCTAAAGTGTAGTGGTGTAGTCAATGAGGGCATTATAGTCATTTCAAAAATCCACCAGACAATAGAAACACCATTCTTGTCGTTTAGGATTTGGACCCTTGTCGTCCTAATTTGATTTGAATGCATGATTTGATTGAAGTCATAGACCACCGAATATTCCATCTGGGAGCCGAGATTTGATCGCAGCACAGACTCGTTACACTTGAAAAGAGGTATTTCTTTGCCTCTCTCATCTTCTCCCAATTTTTGTTCAGATCTTAGAATGTTCTTATTTCTGACGCAATCCGCGAACCCGATCGAACCCAACCCAAAAAAATAGGGTTAGGGTCACATATTTGGTCATCCAAATGCGAAAATGACTCGATCCAATTCAAAAAAGTTTAAATTGGGTTGGGTTGGGTCATGGGTCAATTCGTTGACTCGATTATTAAGTCTAATTGGGATTATTTATGATTGTTAGAAGTTTTTATTCTTTAATTTTTTCTATTTAGTCTTTATTTTTTATTGTTTACTCTTTAAATTGTTAAATGTTCAAATTTTTAATTTTATATTTAGAATTTTAAGGTTAATTCTTTTAATTTTGACATTTTTCATGTAATTTTTCTTTATTTTTTGGGATGACCCAAATTGACCCATGGGTCAACCCTAATCAGAATATTTAGGGTTAGGGTCTAACATTTGACAACTCAACCTGAAATCAACCCAAAATAACTTGACCCAACCCAAACCCGATCCACCCAACCCAATTGCCAGGTATACTTACTGGGTTACTGAAAGTCTGTAACAGAGGCGTTTCAGTCTTGATATGACTAGAAGTTCATCATCTTTCGATGGGTTTTCACTTTTCGGTCTATAACCAGCCAAATGGATCACGATTGAACAGGTGATTGGCCAAGAAATTAGAGGTCAAAATGATTTTGGCCGCGTTTGTTTTTACGTCAATTTTTAAAATCTTATATATAACAATTTTTTAATTAACAAGGATAAAAGACTTAAGCATATCTTGGGGACTGATCCAATTGGACTTGAATATATTTTCTATAGTAAAACATCACATGTGAGTTCATTTAAAATTTTTAAAATCCCACTTTGGCCTTTTAAAGATTAGGGCGTGGTTCTATGCACACGCAACAAAAAGAACAAAGAAAAAACTAATAGAATTAACTGAAAAGATATAAAATAATAAAGAAAATATGAATTAAGGTGAAGAGGAGAGAGTGCTGACCACAATTTAATTTTATGAAACAATGAAAGAGTGGGCGGAACCAATATAGACTAATGAATCAAACTAAACTAATTATGCTCGGTGATCTAGAGAACTAGATGAGAGAGAATGAATTAAAAATAAAAAAAAAAAAACAAAAAGTGAAGAAGCTAAAGGTAAATTACAAAGACCCCCTTATATTATGGAGTCAGTGATAAAGTTTTTCTTGTATTTTTTTTTGTAACAAAGACCTCCTGAATTTTAGCCGTTACATAAAGACTCCTTTGACCGTTAAGTCAGATGACAAAAAGTGTTAAATTATCAAAATACCCCACTAAACTTAATTTTTATATTTTCTTTTTCTTGCCCTTTTCTCTTAAAACCTATTTAATCTAGGAAATGAATATCTTGAAGGAAGTATCAAATAGAGATTTCAGAAAGAAGTTAAGAAATAAATAAAAGAAACCCACAGAGAAGAGTTCAGCAGTGAGCAGAGAAAGAAAGAGTGTGTGCAGTTTCAAAAGTATTTATGGTGTATTGTTTGGTGACAGATGCATATTCAAGGAGTAGAGGTGTAATTAAGGGTGTGTAGAGATGGGTAGGTCAAGCTTTTATAGTGCGTTGAAGCTACTGTTCTTGCTGGTGCAAATGCAAATGCGCAGGTTAATTAACGTGCATCCACTACTCATCTGAACAATAAGAGAGAGAGAGAGAGAGAGAGAGAGAGGGGCTCCCTTGTTTCAATTACAGTCGTTTTCCAAGTTCGTCCCATTTCCCATTGTTGGGTTGGTGCATTATTAGGAATTTAAGAGCTAGGGCTCTGATTTGTTTGTGCTATTTGTTTTACCAGTAATGGCGATCTAGGCTTCTCAGTTTCTTGGTGGCACTGAATGAAATGGATAACGTAACCAGAAGGAAGAGGTGAACCCCACCTCTTATTTTGGCTCTCTTCCTCATTGTTTTCTTCCAAAGATCTACAGTTGACGTTTTGGCTTTGAACTACACAAATTTTAGACATGTATCAAGTTTGAGACTCGCAAGAATTCAGAGACACTTGGACAAATCAACAAGCCCGCCATTAAAACCATAGAGGTTAGTTTTCTCATCATCACCGTTCCATTGCTCTCATGTTCTTTGGTATCCTTCATTCTGATTTATTGACTCCTGGGTAGACCTTATTTTGAAGTTCCAACATTTTCTCATTCATTTGTTCAGAACCTAGGTAGAGATATAATTGACTGTGTTCAGACATAAACAACCAGCTTTAGACCATCCTCTTCTGAAGAATCACAAGACCCAGGTACGTACACAGAATTAATTTAAGCTAGTTCTATCTATCTATCTATCTCATGAGTTTGCTTATATGTCTGTAACAGAGAGCACCACTAGAAATGCCAAGAATGAGAATGAACAAGGAAGGAGAAGGGATGAGAAATAAGATTAGTGGTAGTTAAGGAACAGGAGGTGCATGGCAAACATGGCATCTAGGTGGGAAGAGATGTCCCAAGGGAACGGTTCCCATAAAGCGAAGCTCAGTGAATGATGTGTTGAGAGCCAAGTCTCTGTATCACTTTGGGAAGAAACGATGCATCCTCTTCCCACCCATCAGGACTTGCTTCAACCATCAGGACACCCAGACCCAGTCATGGCCCACCACCAATCCATCCATATCAGGGCCTCTCAGTTCACTCCCAGAGAACACCAGATGGTCGCACAGGTCTTTGCCGGAATGGGACGGCCGAAGACTGTTCTCTGGGCATGTCTTTTGTCATGCTGGCAATCCCAGAACCAAAAATGCTGACTGAACTGCACACCATAGTTGGTCTCAGTTGGTTTACTTTCGACTTTTGCTCCACTCTGACAGCGCCTGAGAAACCGAGCTTGGACCTTTACCGAAGAAAGCTCTCTCTTTCTCTGGCTGGTTATCGTTGAATGCCAGATCCATTGGACTTGGAGGAGTTCTCGAAACCAACACATGAGATGGTAAAGGTCTATCTGATGAGAGTGCTTGTCCCAACCAAAGAGCACTCTCGTACTGTCTATCTTCTCCCAACTCCCAAGCATCAGTCAAAATGGCGGAAAATGTCTTGCCCTTGCCACTACTGGCTAGCAATGGTCGGTTTTGGGACTGTGTGAGAGTGCTTGAGGTTAGTTTTGAGGTTTAATCGAGAAGCCAATGAAAAAAAGGGTAATTTGGACATTTAAAAAACTTTAAACAGTCGATGAAAATTTTTTGGACCAACAGAATGTTAACAGAAGGGGGTCTTTCTCTAATGGCTAAAGTTTAAAGAGGTCTTTGTAGCAAAAAAAAGTACAGGGAACTTTGTCACTGACCAAGGGGGTCTTTATATTGTCAAAGTCTTGTATCATTGCAAATTTATTTGCATTGCAACCAAACAGTCTTAGATTCAATTGCATTGATTGAGAGCCTTATTTCCTTAGGCTCTGTTTGTTTGCGACCCAAGCGTCGGACCGGGGTATTTATGTACTCCGGTTTGCATTTGTGAGCATTTGTTTGAAATGTAAAAAGTATTGATTATTAGAGTAAAAATGTATTTTATGACAGTTTTATACTCTAAAAGAGAGCATTACTGTACTTATTTTTTGGATACAATTTTGTATTCTTTTGATAATTAACTTTTTGAACAAAGTTAATGCATTGGAGCATAAGATAGTTGGAGCATTTAATGATGGGCCCACACTTTTGCACCCATTTTAAACAAACAAGATGAATGCAAAAACGGTTTAAATTGTGAACTGCATTTGCATTCATAAACCGAAAAATGGGTAAATATGTAGTGTACATATTTGCATTTGCATTGCAACCAAACACAGCCTTAATAGTTTGTTCCTAGGCTCAGTTTGGAAGGAGTACAAATACAAATATGTACAGTATAAATACATACATAATGTAAGATTTTGCACTCTACATATTTGTATTTGTACTCCTTCCAAACTAAGCCGAAAAGGTTGGGCTTTCCTCTTTGTGCATGGGTGCATGCATAGTGTAAATTAATAAAGCATGCGATATCCTCCATCAATGCAAAGTGTGATAGTGGCAGGCACGTTGGGTAGTAGGGGTGAGCATATAGGTGGGTTCTACTCAGAACTGGATGGAATCAACCTCAAATTGGCCTTGAACCAATCCTACTCAATTTATTACAGGGTAGGATTTGGTTTCAAATTCCTGGAACCGATCCCCACCTAGGTTGGTCCTAGCTTCCTAGAGTCTAAGGAATTACCCTACCCGAACTAATCCAAAGAACCGGCCTTGGTGGAACTAGCCTTGAAATCGAAATTGCCTTGAAATAAACCCCAAAATATTTTTAAGGATGCGAAGATTTTAATCCAACCACTCATCGCTACAAATGCTATGGTTTCACTATGATCATTTGTTTTCATTTTAATACTTAGATGTATATAATAAATAATGTAAAAGGTAATATTACAAAATTTAATTATAATGACCAATTATATTATAATAATCTATATATTAGATTACTCAATTTAATCAATAAAAATAATAATAAATCTTAAACTATATATTATTCATTATTAAAAATCAAAATTTTTTTCTTTTTATTCTTTTAAGGGGAGAATAAAGAAAAAACACCTTCCAATTGACCTCGGAATTACCAAATTCAAAATCGACCAAAATCGACCTTAGAACCAACCTTCATAGGTAAATTCCAATTCCAAAAACTTGTAATTAACCCCTACAGAATTAGTTTCCGGGTTCTCGACCCATGCCTACCCCAGTGTCAAGAGAATTTTTTGATTTATTTTAAAAATTTAAAAGAAAATAAAGGGTAAAAGAGTAATAACGGATGTTAACAAGTCTCCCAGGTTTCAACGGTCAACTACACGACAAACTTTCACGATTAGACACTTTATAATTAACCCATCTATCAGCGACGAAGATTAATGGATGACGCATCTCAGTTTCGAAGAAGTACGAATACATCCGATGCTGAATTCCAAACCCCTACAACTAGCCCTCTCTCACATATAAATCACATCCTGACCGTGAATTGGATGCCCGTGAATTTAACATCAATTTAAATGCATTCCCCTACTTTGGGGCTATAAAATTCTCATCTGGGCTGATTGGTCATTCTCCCTCTCAGTTTTGGTTCCGCTTTTTGGCTTTTACATCAAATGTCAATGCACAGAAATATAATAGACCAGGGGTTGTGTCAATAAAACCCTTTCCGTTTTGCAAAAACTGGATAGGTAGACACTGTATAGTCCTGTAACTCGGTCGCTGTCTATGGCGGTGAACGACTTCTTCGCCGGAGAAATCGCTGTAGAGCTCATAAAACAGCTCCTAGGGACATGCAAGCGATATACCCTTTGTAAACCCAATGCAGAGCAGCTAAGGAGAACCTTAGAGGAATTGCTCCCCATAATTCAGGAGATCAAATACTCCGGCGTGGAATTGACACAGATACGACAGTCTCAGCTAGACCGATTCTCCGAAATTCTGTGCCAGGGATTGGATCTCTCCAAGAAAGTCTTGGCTTGCAGCCGGTGGAACGTTTACAAGAACTTGAAGCTGGCGAAGAAGATGGAGAAGCTCGAGAAAATGGTCGCCGTCTTCATCAACGGTTCCATGCAGGCCCATATATTGGCTGACGTCCACCATGTGAGGTTCGAGTCCGCTGAGAGGTTCGATCGGCTTGAAGGTCAACTGGCCGCAATGAAGCTAGGGGTGAGTGGCGACGGGTGGTCGGAGAATGCGGTGAGCAAAGTTGAAGAGAACGAGATGGACGTGGACTGCTCCATAAATTGGGGAGTTGGGATGGTTTTGGGGAAGAAGAAGGTCAAGGAGATGCTTATCGGGAGAGATGATTTGAGGGTGGTTGGGATATGTGGTATTGGGGGAAGCGGCAAGACCACTTTGGCCCGAGAGATTTACAGAGACGAACAAGTTCGAAGTAAGTCCTAGTTCTTCAGTTTTGCTTTTCACGATAGCTTTGAAGAATCTGTTCTCTGGATTTTGTAATACTTCACTTTTTCTGTGAGCAGTTTCGTTCTCTCTTCTGTAATTAATTCTATAAATGCCATTGTTGAAACTTGAAACTTGAATGTTTTCTTCTTTGATGTTAATAACTCAAGTTAGTGCTTCAGAATATTTGTTTCATCATTCGTCTCTCTGGGTTGCCTTTTTCAGGTTACTTCAACAATAGAATTTTCTTCATAACAGTCACAAACTCTCCAAATTTGGAGGAGTTAAAGCTACAGCTTTGGAAAAAAATAACGGGAAATCATAGGTCTGGTTTTGGTGCTCCAGACGTTCCAGTTCCACAACTGAACGTTCAATATAACTGGATGCTTACTGAAAGAACCCTTGTGGTTCTGGATGATGTGTGGTCTCTCTCAACGCTCAAACATCTAATTTTTCGAATTCCTGGATACAAAACCCTTGTTGTTTCGAGATCTAAGTTCCCAGCAACAGTGATTGATTGCAGTTATGAACTAGAATTGCTTAGAGAAACAGAGGCCATGTCTTTGTTCTGTTACTCTGCTTTTGGACAAAAGAGCTTTCCTTTGGATGCTAACGAAAAACTGGTGGAACAGGTAGGATTGAGAAGTAGTCATAATTTGTTTCAAGTATTTGATCCCATTTTCAAAACAGTGAGGATTTTGTTGATCTGTTTTTAAGTTGGGTATCTGGGAACTCTGATTATGGATGTCTGACTCTGGATTTAACAGGTGGTGAGAGAGTGTAAAGGGCTTCCGCTGGCTCTTAAAGTGATTGGAGCTTCATTAAGGGATCAGCCTGAAATATTTTGGAAAAGTGCCAATAACAGGCTATCGCGAAGTGAACCAATATGTGATTCCCACGAGATTGATCTGCTTAAACGAATGGAAATTAGCACAGAAAGCCTGTCTGATAAAGGTAGGGAGTGCTTCCTGGACTTGGGTTCCTTCCCTGAGGATAAGAAAATTCCTGTCAATGTTCTTATCAACATGTGGGAGGAGATCCGTGACATTGATGAAGCAGAAATTTTTGCCATTCTTATTGAGCTTTCAGAAAAATATCTTATAACTTTGGTCAAAGATGGGCGGTACGTATATTGGAGTTCCTGTTTCTCTTATTTTCAATAAAATCAAGACACAGGATTTATAGAGATTTCTGTTCTGTGGTAAATTAAACTGTGTTGTCTGTTACTCTGGATCAGTGCTGGAGACATATATAGCAGTTACTTTGAGACATCTGTTACCCAGCATGATGTGTTGAGAGACTTGTCTCTTCACTTAAGCAATTATAATAGCTTAAATGAGCGAAAGCGGCTACTAATGCCAAGAAGAGAAGAAGGGCTTCCAAAAGAATGGAAGAGGAATAGAGATAAACCATTTGAAGCCCAGATTGTCTCAATCATACAGGTATTGTTTCTTCCCTTCTTAAGATACCCAAATGAAATTTATGCCAACAGCTTTCAGCTTTTGTATATTTAGAATCTATGATCAATTTCTCAACTTCCTTAGTTTATGCCTTGTTTGATCAAAATATGGTTTATCAATATAGGTCAAATGGGAGAGATGGATTGGTTCCATATGGACTTCCCCAAGGCCGAAGTTCTTATCCTGAACTTCTCCTCAAACGAGTACTTTCTGCCACCATTCATTGAGAGAATGTCAGAGCTTCGAGCTTTAATAGTAGTAAACAATGGCATCGAGAATGCAGTCCTTCACAACACTCGTATATTTTCCTCTCTGGGAAATTTACGTAGCCTCTGGTTAGAAAAGATCATTCTCCCTCGACTAGACAATACAACCTTCCCTCTGCAAAACTTATGCAAAACCACCCTGGTCCTCTGCAAGGTTAACGAAGGCCTAAATGGAACAGACTTTCCAATGTTATTCCCTCGGCTGTCTGAGTTCACCATGGATCATTGTGTTGATCTAATTGAATTGCCATCAAGCATATGCAGGGTCTGCTCACTGAAGAGTTTGAGTATCACTAACTGCCACAGTTTGCAAGAACTGCCAATTGAACTGGGGGCTCTGAAATCTCTAGAGATTCTGAGGATCTATGCTTGCCCAGGATTGAAGAGGTTTCCTCCAGGGATATGTGAATTGGGGTCTTTGAGCTATCTTGACATCTCTCAGTGTGTAGGCCTGAGGAGCCTCCCTGATAGGATTGGTAGGTTGGTTAGGTTGGAGAAGATTGACATGAGGGACTGTATGCAGATCAGAAGTCTACCAGGGTCCACTGGGTCATTGAGGTCTCTGCGCCGTGTCATCTGTGATGAAGAGGTTGCTGTGCTGTGGAAAGAAGTGGAACTGGAAGCATTGCCAGATCTTAGGGTTCAGGTGCCACAAACATGTTATAGTTTAGACTGGCTAACAGAGTGAGGATGCTGTATTTCCACATGTACAGCTGATGTACTGTAAAATAAATTTGGCTCTCCCAGTTCCATCTGCTTTCATTTTAATCCAGGTCGCACAAACAAATGTGATGCAATAAATTAGTTCTGAGAATAAATCTGTATTATAATTTCACCCTTAAATTAAACAGAAAATTAGATACTTCATAGCTTGGCTTTCCCTCTTATTTTACCTTCATGAAAAACAATTATAATTTAACTTAAAGTTTTCAAAAGTTAAAAAGGTCCTACACATGCCCTTGCATTTGAAGAGCAGACCTTGGAGACCATTCAAACCAACTTTTCTAATACATATACATTAGTTTTATATTAAGTATAAAGATTCAGATCTTATTAAAAAAACATTTTCTTTTAATAAGATTTGCAAAAAGGTCACTCCCTTTAATAAGCATAATCAGTAGGTAGAGAGAATTTGACTTAAAAATGAATTAAATGATCCTTTTGCAGAGGAAAGTCCAAAAAGATAGGAATGAAATAGAATTCATCAAAGATTAGAAGCAATGCAAGCTGTAATAGAATTCTCTTTACTATAGGTGGTCCATCCATGATCCATACATCCATGAAAGGTAGGGAGAAAGAAAAGAATAGAAGCAATGCAAACTGATTATCTATCTATACTTGGCTTTACCAAGAATTGTGTGTGGAGACAGTCTATATTCTTCCCAACAAACTACTCAACCTTCTTTTCTTTACTTTGGAAAACATTGTGCTTCATTTTTCTGAATACCTTGTCATCAACCATGTCATATAATTTTCTCCCCTGCACCATCGCCTTCTCCCCACACTCTTTTATCTTATACTCGTACCTCACATAAATGACTGGAGCTGTCATCCCTGCAACAATACCTGTAAACCCAGAAACAAAAAATTTAGCAGGAGAGAGAGAGAGAGAGAGAGGTTCTGTTTTGTAGTTGTAGTCTGTCGACATACCAATATAGAGGAGAGTAAGGAAATCGGCCAAACTACCCAGCAAAGAGAGAACCCACAAACCAGAAACCACTGCAACAGATACATACCATTGTCTCTCCGCACCTACCCGAAATACCCATCGTACCCCTTCTTCCATCCATCCTCGAAAGGTGTTTGCTGCTTCCGTTGCCCACTGCTCTGAAACTTCCAAACCGGACATGTCCGGCTCTTTTCTGAAAACCAGGAGGCCAAAACAAGCATTGAAGAGAGAAAAAACAAAGGAAAAGGATGATGTTGAGCATAGAGGACTAATGTGTAGCTTACTTGCGGAGAATTCTGAGAAGGTTTCCCCAAAGAAACATTGAGGCGACAATCGATATGCCCAGCCACGAGGCGACAGTAAGGAAGTTGAATTGATACACTTCTAGCAGTACCCATGTCGCTGTTGCAGTAGCCAGGACTGATAAGCTCAACTTCTTCCTCCTCCATAGGAAAGTGTCTTTGATAACACCTGCTACAGACCAGTGCCAAGACTCAGAGACAGAGACAAAGAGAGTGCTAAGACCATGGAGCATACCTGAGGTGGATGGAGATTGCACTGTTGTTGACATACTCTAAAGATGAAGAGGGAGGTGTAGGAGCCAAGGCTCTGTTGCTTCTACTGTGATTTTTGTGTTTCTATGATCTATCTTTCTTTGTGAAGGTTGGATGGAAGTTTTTCTCTCAATTTTATGTAAAATAAGAATAACCTATACTTGTTACAAGTGGCCCCAACAACTTTGAAACGTGGAGAAAAAAGAGAATCTATTTGCCACGATTTGGTAAGGGGTTTGCCTTGGCAGACACATTGACTGCTAGTATGTGCGTTGTGACGTAACAGCTTTGGAGGTTAGAAAACAAAACAAAAGGTTTTGCCTCAACAGCATTGACAAGCTGCACGAGCCGAGAGATAAATTGGCAGCACTCGACCGAAAACCAAACTAAGAAAGAAACCAAGCGGCTGCTGGTTTTATTCATATTGACATTAGTAATTTGCCTAATTCCTTAGTTCCTATTTGTAATAAATTAACTTTTCATATTGTTAGAACATAAGATTTCAACTCCACCTAAAGTAAAATTGTACAAACACGCGAAAATTTCTACAGGAATCTGGTTGGAACGAGCTCATGTATTCTGAGAGGGAGACTAGAATTCTTCATTTCTGATATCTCCTTTTCTTTTCTGGAAGAGCACCCACCAAGGTAGTCCTCTGTCCTCACTCCTCAGCTGTGTTCCTGGCTTCAAGTGTGTTATCAAGAAGCGTCCCGACTACCATTGCCACAGTTGGAGGTGATGAGAAAATTGTATTTCATATGTCATTGAGCTGCAAGCAACGCTCAGATGGATTGCTTTCAGAGAGCCAATTAATAAAAAAAAAATGCATTTTGACCCTGATGCTGCATATGCAGGGCCATGCCAGAGTTCAATATCTCTATTGTGCCGGCATTTGTTTCAGAAGCAAGTCAGTAGTAGGGATGTCAATTGGAATGGATTTCGTCTAATGCCAATATGAGTTCATTACAGATGGACCAATGGATCAGGTCCAATTCAATTCATACTTTAGACCATTTTGGACCGGTCTAATTTAATGTCTATCTTCTTTTAATGGGCCAGATAATGGTTTAACATGATCCAATATGTTATGACGGTTAATATTGCAATGAAGGATAGAAAAGGACCTCACCCTCCTCCTTCGTATCCATAAACTGACAAGAATAAAGTGAAAACTCTAATCACTGATACTCAATGACCAAAGCCATAGTCTACGAATTCTAATACACATCTAGTTAAGTGTCAAATCTGTGGGAGATTCTATCATTCTGCTAAGTGTTATAGTATATTCAACAACATTCAGTTTCTTGCAAAACCATAGACTCCTACTACTTCATCCTTGTCCCAACCTGGAGATTCTAGCTGGTAACCAAACTCCAGAGCTACCAACCACCTTATAGCCAACCTACAGAATTTAGGGCTTCATTCTGAATACAAAAGGCCAGATCAAATAGTGGTGGGCAATGGCACAGGTTTGAGCATTCTTCACACTAGGTCTTACTATTTCATCTACTGATCGTCCATAACTACTTTGTAATATTTTGCATGTTCTTCAATCCACTGCTGATAATAATGTCTTCTTCGAATTCCATCCTCATGTGTGTTATGTAAAGGATCACTCCTCGAGGAAGACTCTGCTAGAGTGAGTAAGTGTGAGCTCTATCAACTTGATTTATCATTTCCTAGTTCGAAGTTTTCTTGCATAGGTGAACGCACAACCATTGACCATTGGCATGATCGCCTTGGACACCCTTTAATAAAGGTCTCGCAACATGTGTTGGCAAATTATCAATTACCTTTTTCTTCTCATCATAAACCTGCCTTCTATACACCATGTCGGCATGGCAAGGGACATGGCCTTCCATTTCTTCCTAATGATTCAGTTGTTAATGCTTCATTAAACATTATTTATTCAGATTTGTGGGGTCCCTCCTAGTTAACTCTGTTGATGGTTATCGGTTTGTAGATAGTTTTACTTGTTTTACATGGATATATCCATTGTTTCACACATTTGATGGACTTGTAGTATTTTTATAGTTCAATCTATGGTTAAGAATTTACTTGAATGTAAAATAAAAGTTCTTCCTCGAATTTGTCAAATTTAATGGTATTCTCGCTAGCCATGGCATCTTACATCGGGTTTCATGCCATCGACACACTGTGGAGACAGGATTAACCTTGCATGCTTGTTCCTCTATTTCTCTTCATTACTAGTATGGTGCTTTCCATACAGCAGTGCATCTAGTCAACCGCCTACCCTTTGTACTACTTGGTTATGTGAGCCCATTTGAAAAATTGTTTGCCAAGAAGCCCAATTACAATTTTCTATGCACCTTTGGGTGTCAATGTTTTCCCTTAGTTTAGCCCTACAACAAACATAAACTTAAGTTTTAGTCCCAAAGCTATGTTTTTCTTGATGTTGCCATGGGCCACATATATTTCCCGTGATGTGGGTTTTAATGAGGATTGTTACTTATCATGCTCTGTCTTCATCTGCTATTCACCATGGACTTTGAGTTTAATGCCTTGGTAAAAAATGGGACATGGACCCTTGTTTCTAAGCCTCCTAATGTTGAGTCCATCAGTTGTAAGTGGGTCTTCAAGCTAAAGTGACATCTTGATGGAACAATTGAACGTTACAAGGCACAATTCAATGATAGAGGTTTTACTCAATGGGTTGGCAGTGATTACATAGAAACTTTTAGCCCCATTATTAAGCCCAGTACTATACGTGTCATTTTGGGTCTTTCTATTTCTATAGGTTGGTCACTCCAACAGTTGGATGTTCAAAATGCGTTTCTTTGTAGGGACCTATGTATATGTCCTAGCCACCAGGATTCAAGAACCCGCACCATCCTCATCATGTGTGCCTACAAGCGTGGTATCATAAGTTTACCAACTTCTTGCTCTCTTGTGGATTTACTGTCTCTCAATCTGACAATTCTCTCTTTTTAAAACATGATGGGCCTTCCTCTCTTTTTGTTCTCATTTACGTAGATGACATTGTTGTCATGGGCTCTAATTCCAAGGGTGCCTCTGACCCCATTTACATGTTGGATTCTCAATTAGCTGTTAGAGACCTAGGCCCCATGCATTATTTTTTTGGGTGTGGAAGTTCTACTCACTAAAATAGGCCTGTTCTTATTACAAAGAACTATATCTGAAATCTCTTGTTGTAAAGACACATGGGTGGTTCGAAGCTAGTCGCCACTCCCTTATAGTCCGGTGTTCATCTCTCTAAATCTACAGGCACTCTCCTCTTTCAGACCCACGTGAATATAGATGCAGTATATCTTACTCACCAGGCCTAACTTATCCTTTGTTGTTACTAAATGATTCCAATTCATGCACTATCCAACTTCAGCCCATTGGGCCCAAGTTAAGCACTTGCTACGTTATCTCAATCACACTCTTACATTTGGCCTTACCATTAATAGTTCTAGAGATTTTTCTCTCACCATGTTAGGGTAGGTTTCCCCGATTATAGAAAGTCTCATGGCAGTTTTTGTGTTTCCATGGGCCCTAATATTATTTCTTGGTCCTCACATCCTATTGTTTCAAAGTCTAGCATGGAGGCTGAATACCAAACTATTGTTCTTGTCGCCTCTGAACTCGGTTGGCTTCGCTCCTTGCTCATGAAGCTTCATATTCCTCTCTTTGAACCTAGTTTTTTACTCCCACTCTAAACACATTGAAGTTGACATGCATTTTGTTCGGCATCAGGTCCAACACAACAGTTTTGTTATTTGTTTTATGTCTACAATCATATATATCCAAAATCCCTTCCCAGTCCACATTTTGCATGGATTCGTGGCAAGTTGAAAGTTGGCACCCCCACCTTCAACCTCTAGGGGGTGTTAGTGATATCATTGCCCCAAGCACTTCTTACCTAAAGAAGTGCTTGAAAAATCTTATGACCTAGTTCATTGGGCATTGGTTGGTAAGTGTATGCATGGTCACCCACCTCTACTAGAGATCAAGGAGTTCATTTCTAAAACTTTCTGTTTGTAGAACCAAGTGTGGGTAATTGCTCCTAACTCTGAACACATCTTGATTCAATTAGTTGAGGATGATGGTTTTCTGAAGGTATGGATGAGAGAGGCTGATGGAGGCCCATCCCAAGGCCCATCTCACCCCTAGGGGCGGTAGCTCCTAGGATAAGGTCAAGAGTCCAAGATAAGTCAAGAAAGGATAATAGGATAATTCAAGATCCATTAAGACTCTTCCAAGACTCCAAGACTTATCAAGAATCCAAGATTATCAAGACTCTTCCAAGATTAGCAAGAAYTCAAKACTCCAATCAAGATCCARCAAAGACTCCAAGAAGCATCAAGAAATCCAAGACTCCTAGATTCATGCATAAGGAGAGCTAGGGAGATCGGACGGTGGAAGATCAAGCCCAAGAATTCCAAGATGGTTCGACCTTATCAAGTCAACCCAAGAGGATCAAGGTCAAGATCAAGACTCATGTTCTTTCCTAGTTCTTTTACAATTCCCAAATGTATTATAAATATTGCTATTTTCCCAAAGTTATTCATCAATTCATACTTCAGATTTTCAGAATTTCTTCAAGTTCTCTTCTTCCTATTTTCGCCACCTTTTCTCTCTCCTAGAGAAATCGGTGTTTTTCGCTAGGTGCTAGCGAACGCCCAGTGCTTGCATAGCCAGCCCCGGTTCTCATTGCTTCCACGCTGCGTCAGAGGCTTTTAAAATTAAATCCTTTCTTTTTCCGTTTATTCAAATGGATGTCTAAATTCAAAATGATTGGGAACCCTTTATGTTCTTGTCTAGATCATTTTTCCGTTTTTACTAATTAATTTCTTTGTTAAAAGGTTGCTTCGTTTGATGGCTTTGGCAATCAGACTAGTTCTCAAGATTGATCGGGTAACTATAACTTTAATCAGAACTAGAGCGACTTGTGTTTGTGTGGAACTTGATTTTCTCAAGCATCATCCAAGCAGGTTATGAATTAGTACTGGCTGTGATGGGTTCTAGCAAGAGATCATGTATGAAAACCTCTAAGAATATTATGACAATTGCTACAAGGTCAGCCATTTAGCGAAAACTTGTAAACACAATAAAGATAATAGACGTTTTGGAGATAACAAGGGTTTGGATGAAGGTAATAAAGAGAAGTATATTG